AGCTGTAACATAGAGCATTCTGCTGGTGACCGTTATGAGCAGTCATCAGATATCCTTTATATTCTCTAGTCCATGATGAAGGATAGCTGGTTCTAGCAGGAATCATCAGTTTAACACTCTTAGTAGATGTATATCATACTGTACAAGGAACATTATGATCACTCTTTCCTAAAAATGTATCATTATTTACTTCATATTCAGTGGCATAACTGTTTATTATGTAATAGAACTTAAAAAATTTATTGTAAGACTTGACCCTCAGAAAGGGCAAGATCAATGTTGGAAGACGAATGAATCGGTCTATGATAAGACGAACGAGCACCTCTGAAGCAAACGGTAGCAGATCTTAAAAGTGAAAATGAAAGACGACATCTAATCCAATATATTCGGTACCATACATGTATGCTTGGCCAATAGAAGTAAGAGTATATAATATTAGGGTAGAAGGTACAGTTGTACTCATATATTGAGGGACCTTTGGTAAACAGACATAGTTAGCTCCTCCTCCTGTATGAGTATAATGACTACCTCCAGTTATTCCCTCATACAGTAGTTCAGCTCCAGTAGGACAGGACTTCCTTCCCCAACGAGTGTACACTACTCCTCCACTTTTAGGACCAGTTTGTCCTACAGGTTCAGTTTCACCTTTCTCTCCTTTCTCTCCCTTATCTCCTCTCTCTCCTTTCACTCCATCTCTTCCTGGTACTCCATCACGACCATCTCTACCACGCAGCACCTCAACATAGGTTTGTTTGTTGTTGCAGGACAGTCCAGTGTTGGTGTTATTCTTTAATGGTATAGCTGTAGTTAGTGTCAGTATTGAGAGCAACATTGAACACACAACTAGTGACCTCATTGGAAGAGAAAGAGACTAAGAGAGAGAGAGACTGAGAGAGAAATATAAGAGATTGATATTCTGTCACACAACACTGCTGGTCTTTATATATTGGCCCTCCTATTATAAGTTATATTGTAGTTAATAACCAGTTTCAACGAGTCATACAAACCTGTTTAACCTGCTAATATCAGTTGATGTGATGTTGTTAGAGTGTCCAACTTTATGTCTCTTATAATAAAAACCTGAGTCAACCTGTTTGACGTGAGGCAGTTGTTATAAGTCTTCTCTTGATAATAACAGTTACCATTAATAGTATCAATAACTCATTGTATCACCATTTATCATACTGTAGCACTGTATGTACAATGATTAGCTATTATGGGATTCCCTATGTTTGAGTGTTTAATAAATTTTTGTATTTAATTTTTGTATGAATAGCTATTATGCGATTGTTCTTTTTATTTTTTCTAATTTTGACAGATCAATAATTGATAGTTTTGACATCATTTGATTGGAATGAAACTGATCCTAATATACTGGGAGCATCTAGTATTGATACTACCTGTACTATATGGGGACTAGAGGTTAGTACTTTATTGTATGTACCAATAAATTGTTATGACATGCAAAACAAGGCGGTTGTAATGATTTTAGGAGTTTTTGTAACTAACAGAAGTAACTCTAATTATGTACTCTTGCTATTATTGATAATGATTGATATCATCAAATTAAAGTTGTCTATACCATTTCTTGCCATTTTTGCTAATTATATTTATTCACTCATATTATTATGGAAATAATCATCTCATTAATCCTAGGTAGAAAATTCTATCACACACTGTTAATTGTTTCAAATTGTTACTTAGTACACACAACACAAGTAATAGCTCTTTTGTCAACATAAGGTGGACAAGGTAGACCATTACAGACTGTTGCTGTGAAGTAGAACAGAGCACCATTAGTGCTAGCACCACTGCCATCAATAGATTCAGGATATTCATCAACACACTCATAGACTTTATTATTTTTGGTTAAGACCCCGTAATATTCAGTCATCAGATATCCTTTATATTCGATAGTCCATGATGAAGGACAGCTGGTTCTAGCAGGAATCATCAGTTTAACACTCTTAGTAGATGTATAACATACTGCACAAGGAGCATTGTGATCATGCTTTCCTGAAAAAATATTTTGAACGATTTCATATTCAGTACCATAGATTCGAGAATAACCAAAAGGTACAGTGGAACTCATATATTGAGGGTCCTTTGGTAAACAGACATAGTTAGCTCCTCCTCCTATATGAGTATAATGACTACCTCCAGTTATTCCCTCATACAGTAGTTCAGCTCCAGTAGGACAGGACTTCCTTCCCCAACGAGTGTACACTACTCCTCCACTTCTAGGACCAGCTTGTCCTACAGGTCCAGTTTCACCTTTCTCTCCTTTCTCTCCCTTATCTCCTCTCTCTCCTTTCACTCCATCTCTTCCTGGTACTCCATCACGACCATCTCTACCACGTAATATTTGTAGATTAACCTCCTTCACATTAGTTTCATTAATGTATCCTTTGCTTGTTGACACAGATGATGATCCTTTATA